TACTTTTGAATGCTAAAAATATAAGTAATTCAAGTTAAAACCTGATTTTATATATACTTTACAACTATTGTAATTTTCCTAATACCGTATTTTGCCTTATAGAGTACCCTCTGGTTTCTAGTATTTTGATTTGTACTAGGTACATTACTGTATTACCATACCTGTATAATTTTGGTATACTAAATATTTATAAATAAAACAAATTGCTCTGCTATATAGTATAGTATACCCAGAGTATAAAACTGATGTAGATGGTAAGAGATTCTGGGTACTTTCTATATTAAAATATGGTATAATAGAGTTCATTATAATAAAAATAGATTGTATATATTTAAATTATTACCTTTAATTTATTTCATCATTTTGTGTGAAAAAATCCCATAGTAGAGAATAATCTTTCTACTGAGGCTGAATTAACACAAATTGAATAAATATGTAATGCAATATTAGCCAATTCACTTGCTCTACTACATGAAACAAATTTCTAGTATTTTATAATATCTTTATCAAAATTATCAAAGCTTTCATCATCAAAAGGATATTTTTTATCAAACCAATTATTCAATTTGGAAAGAATCTTTAGAGGCTTTTCATCAAATCAGGCTATATAATAATAAATTATCCATTTATCCAATATAACTAAATTTAATATTGAAATATTTTTATTAAATTTTGTTAATCTATATATTGGATGAAGTAAAAAGGATATTAATAACAATGGTTGTTCCCATTGTTTCCAGCGTCGCTCTAATTTTTCAATCATCTTGGTCTGAAAATCAGAAGTCTCTTGCTGTTTAATAACTTTCATTAGATATCTGAAACCATGTAGTATATCATGTAACTGAGCTTTATCTCTCTGAAGTTTATTTAATATAGCACAAAATGGATAAATTAAAGTTTCCAAATTTGTAAATCATGCCACCATTGTAATCATTTCACAAATTTCAGATAGAATTTCTTTAGACTCTATAGAATTTTTAATAACTAATGATTATAAAATAAATTAATATGGTTATTATTAATATTGTAATAAATAATACATAGATATTTTATAAGCTATTGCAAATATTATAGATTAGCACGATAAAGTTGTGATAATCTATATTGTTTACGACATATATAAAATATCTCAAACAAATATTAAAGATCTGAAATATAATTAAATATTTTTCTATACCTTTAATGCAATTTTAGTTTTAAGAATACTTTTAAAACAATAATAATGACTATTCCAACGAGTATCATTTGGCATCATTAGTGCAATATATTTTCTATAAATTTCTTGCTGCTTTGTACGTAATTTGGCTAAAAAATATGTAGACTTATTAAAAAAGATAACTAAACAAATGGCTTTACTAGAAGTTTTCATAAACTGGCTTGATATTTTAAAAATATCTTCTACACAAAGATTCGATTAGTGCACAAAACAAGGTAAAAAAACTTTGTCTCTAATATTTTTTTGTAATTGTTTCCTAAATTAAAATATTTATTATAAATATTATACTAGCTTAATAATACGCATATATATTATAGTTTAATTAAAATTACCTTGCTGTGGCATTTTCTGATGCTAAATCAGTTACTAATGTGATAATCCTAATATTATTATTTTTTGCTTCTTCAAAAAATTCGATGACATATTTGTAAATCATTTGCTAGTTTTGTAAATTTCCACTTATATCTTCTGCTTTCCATATTAGTGGCTTGCCACTTGAAGTTATTAATACAATGCCTAATATATTTTGCTTTATAATATTTTTCCAGCCATCAAATGCCAATGTTATGCCTTGTTCATCAGTTTCTGCTACAGACATTAGGGGTGGAGTCAATAGAAATGTGACAAATTTATTAGATAAATTTGTTCCATTTCTATTGACATCACCCTATTAGATGATCTTGAACAGATTTTTTTTCGTTATCCAAAATTTTTCCTGCTAAATTAATGTGATTTGGTAATTTTATAGTTGGATTTGCGATTGCAAATGCCTTTTTTATATGAATATCATTTACCCATCTAAAAGCAACCCCAGTAGATATTGTAGCATAAAGAATTGACTGATTAAATTAATCCTAATCATATTTATATATCGGCTGTGTTGTTAAATTATTTAATTTTTGTTTTTTTGAAATCTTTAATAGTAAAGAAATTTGACTTTGAGATAAAGAACAAGAATTTTCTCCATCATCTTCATAATTTAAAGGTTGTACAAATTTACTATCTAAATTTAATATTCTTTCATATTTCTCAGGAGTAACTTCATTATGAAAAACTTTGCAGTTACGTAAATGATTTTTGCATATAGTTTTTTTATTAACAAACTTTAATTCAGATTCTTCTTTATTCAGGTATGCATGCTTATATGATCAGCAAATTGCAAAACGATGTGTTGAATTTGCCTTTTCTTCAGAAATTATAAAATAAGGTGTAAATGGATGTTGTCTTTTTCTCATCTTTATTATAATATTAAATATTAAATTTTAACTTTATATTTCATTATTACAAAGAAGTTATTCGAAGAAATATATATGTTTTAAATAATTAGATATAAATAAATTAATAATAACTTATTTAACAATATAAAATGCAGCTCTATTTTTATCGTAATTGTTTAAATTATCTTGATCTGGTTAATTTGATTAAATAATCGATTCATTAGTTCAAATAGTTAATTATTATTTACCCAGTTAAATTAACAATATTGGTCATATAAGTTTCGACGTCCTGAATTAACTCGCGCCTACCAATCAATAATTAATATCTAGTGTAACATGAAAATAAACATTACAAAAGAATACCAAAAAGACACAGTAACTCAAAATTTTACATGCTAAATCGCTTTCTGCATCCTGATCAAAAAAAATTCTTAAAAAATATTGATTATAAGCTATATTCCTCTAACTCTAAAACATAATTTTAATAATAAAGTATCTACTTTTAATAACAATAATACAGTACCAACTTCAAATCAATATGATAAGTTTTTTACTAATATTCTTTTAGATTTAGACTATTTAGAAAATATGTTTGGCCAAAGAACTTCTAATCACCAAGAAAAAACTTTAATGAATATACAAGATATAAATAAAAATAATAATAATGATATATATAACCTAGCTAATTCTTTCTAATTAATCTAATTAAGTAGCTAAGGAATGAAGAATATTTAAAAATAATCATAGATAAGATAATAACCAATCTAATAATAATAGCTGATCTAATAATAATAACCAACATGATAAGAAAATTAATTCTTAGCAGAAGATACTATAAAAGCTATTATTAAAGGTCTTAAAAGGATTATAAAAAACAATATAGAACAAGATACTATCCCTTAATATGTAGACCAACGCAGACAAATTTGCCTGCATTTTTGTACTTTTTTAGCTCTGATTTACTTTTTTAAAATGCTAAAATATTTAAATAAAACTT